GAAATTGGGAAATTGGGATTTGAGGAAATTGAGAATTTAAGGAAATTGGGAATTTGGGAAATTGGAAATTTGGGAAATTGAGAATTTAAGGAAATTGGGAATTTGGGAAATTGGAAAATTGGGAAATTGGAAATTTGGGAAATTGGAAATTTGAGAAATTGGTAATTTGGGATTTGGGAAAATTGGGAAATTGGGAAAATTGGGAAATTGGGATTTTGGGAAATTGGGATCTTGGGAAATTGGGATCTTGGGAAATTGGGATCTTGGGAAATTGGGATCTTGGGAAATTGGGATCTTGGGAAATTGGGATCTTGGGAAATTGGGATCTTGGGAAATTGGGATCTTGGGAAATTGGGATCTTGGGAAATTGGGATCTTGGGAAATTGGGATCTTGGGAAATTGGGATCTTGGGAAATTGGGATCTTGGGAAATTGGGATCTTGGGAAATTGGGATCTTGGGAAATTGGGATCTTGGGAAATTGGGATCTTGGGAAATTGGGATCTTGGGAAATTGGGATCTTGGGAAATTGGGATCTTGGGAAATTGGGATCTTGGGAAATTGGGATCTTGGGAAATTGGGATCTTGGGAAATTGGGATCTTGGGAAATTGGGATCTTGGGAAATTGGGATCTTGGGAAATTGGGATCTTGGGAAATTGGGATCTTGGGAAATTGGGATCTTGGGAAATTGGGATCTTGGGAAATTGGGATCTTGGGAAATTGGGATCTTGGGAAATTGGGATCTTGGGAAATTGGGATCTTGGGAAATTGGGATCTTGGGAAATTGGGATCTTGGGAAATTGGGATCTTGGGAAATTGGGATCTTGGGAAATTGGGATCTTGGGAAATTGGGATCTTGGGAAATTGGGATCTTGGGAAATTGGGATCTTGGGAAATTGGGATCTTGGGAAATTGGGATCTTGGGAAATTGGGATCTTGGGAAATTGGGATCTTGGGAAATTGGGATCTTGGGAAATTGGGATCTTGGGAAATTGGGATCTTGGGAAATTGGGATCTTGGGAAATTGGGATCTTGGGAAATTGGGATCTTGGGAAATTGGGATCTTGGGAAATTGGGATCTTGGGAAATTGGGATCTTGGGAAATTGGGATCTTGGGAAATTGGGATCTTGGGAAATTGGGATCTTGGGAAATTGGGATCTTGGGAAATTGGGATCTTGGGAAATTGGGATCTTGGGAAATTGGGATCTTGGGAAATTGGGATCTTGGGAAATTGGGATCTTGGGAAATTGGGATCTTGGGAAATTGGGATCTTGGGAAATTGGGATCTTGGGAAATTGGGATCTTGGGAAATTGGGATCTTGGGAAATTGGGATCTTGGGAAATTGGGATCTTGGGAAATTGGGATCTTGGGAAATTGGGATCTTGGGAAATTGGGATCTTGGGAAATTGGGATCTTGGGAAATTGGGATCTTGGGAAATTGGGATCTTGGGAAATTGGGATCTTGGGAAATTGGGATCTTGGGAAATTGGGATCTTGGGAAATTGGGATCTTGGGAAATTGGGATCTTGGGAAATTGGGATCTTGGGAAATTGGGATCTTGGGAAATTGGGATCTTGGGAAATTGGGATCTTGGGAAATTGGGATCTTGGGAAATTGGGATCTTGGGAAATTGGGATCTTGGGAAATTGGGATCTTGGGAAATTGGGATCTTGGGAAATTGGGATCTTGGGAAATTGGGATCTTGGGAAATTGGGATCTTGGGAAATTGGGATCTTGGGAAATTGGGATCTTGGGAAATTGGGATCTTGGGAAATTGGGATCTTGGGAAATTGGGATCTTGGGAAATTGGGATCTTGGGAAATTGGGATCTTGGGAAATTGGGATCTTGGGAAATTGGGATCTTGGGAAATTGGGAATTTGGAAAATTGAGATCTTGGGAAATTGGAATCTTGGGAAATTAGAAAATTAAGAAATTGGGAAATTGGGGTTTTGGGAAATTGAGAATTTGGGAACTTGGGAACTTGGGAACATGGGAACACGGGAATTTGGGAATTTGGGAATTTGGAAATTTGGAATTTTGAAATTAAAAAATTTTGGAATTTGGGGATTTAGGAATTTAGGAATGTAGGAATTTAGGAATTTAGAAATTTAGGAATTTAGGAATTTAGAAATTTAAGAATTTAGAATCATAAAAACATGGAATTTTGAAAATTTAACAACTTCGAGATTTAAGAATTAGAAAACTTAAAAATTTGTGAATTTCATAACTAGAAAATTTGAAGGTTCAGAAATTTGAAAATTAAATAGTTTTGAACATAGAAAAGTAGAAATTATGAATTTTATAAAAATGAATGATGTCACTCTTTGCAAGATTCTAAATTGAAATGAAAATAATGAATGTCGAATATTTTAAAAGTCTCCATAATATCACGTGAACACGCACGCACTACCGGCTCGAGTTCAATTTAAGGACGATCGAACTTCAATTCGAAATTGAAAGCGTGCAAACCCACATGAACGAGTTTCTCGGGCAAATTACACTGTCCAACAAATTTCAACTTTTTTGCAGATGTTCCAATACCTAGCATGCATCTCTTACTGAGTTTCGTGCTCTGGTTACGTATTTGCAAACCATTTTTCTTCGTCAATCACAGATTTTTAATTAATTAAGTGAATTTTCTGATAATTTTTATTGCAATACGAAAAATGTAACATTTTTGTGTTTTATGTAACATGAATTATAAAATATAATTATGAATCGGTCAAATATATTAAATAAGTATAAAAGAGGCAGTTTGTTGTACAACTTTATTGTACAACTAAACATATTGTACATATTTATAAAATAGTAAATTGTACAGTATAAATCAATTAATTATGCACCACATTTATAAAAGAATCAATTATACAATGTGACTATAAGACAATCAACTACACGATATAAGTATAAATCTATTATTTTCTTCATTTATACAATATGATAATTCAGTGTACGAACAATACATACAATATATTTCAATATACAATATGAGTCAATTATACAGTAGAAGTATAAGATAATCAACTGCACGATGTAAGTACAGATCAATGACACAAATTCCATCATTTATACAATTCGATAATTCAGTGTATAAACAGTATATAATATACTTCAATATGTATACATATTTCATACAATATGTATCTAAACAAACAAAAATTGAAAAGTTAAAAAAAAACACTGATCACCGTTTATAAAACTAATACTATTGAATTGAATAATATTCCCAGTAAAAAAGATAATAAAACGAAAAAATGAGGACTCGGTAACAATCAAATTTTTAAATAACTATAATGTGAGCTACTTACACATAATTTTCACCGAAAATAAGCGATATAATTATATGAAATAAAAAACTTCTATTTAACATATAAATGGTTCGGATCTATTCAATCGAAGTTTGTTTATAATTTAACACTTTCTTTTGTATTGCTTAAGGTACATACATATGTACTGTGCTTATGAAAGGTATATATTTTTAAATATAATACTTCTATTTTTTAAAGAAAACTGTTAAGTTAGATTCAAATTTATTTGCAGTATAATTTATATTTCTAAGTGCGCACCGTAAGTATCTGAAAACAAAATGGCTGTTAATGACACAAAATGACAAAATGAACGATGTTATATTTCCTATACAGTGGCGGACAAAGGAAAGTTTAAAACGTGAACGAAAAATCATGAGAATTTTTAGAAACAAAATTTTATTATTTTATCATTGTTATATATTTTAATATTAAATCTATTACAAAAGGAATAGGTTTTTTGTAAACATATTGTTGGTTTGCAAGAAGAAGTCCACAATTGCTACTTTCTCAGGAAAGTTTTAATTTTTCTCAAGAGTCTACTTAATACTTTACTTTTCTGTGAATATACTTTTTTATCATTGTAATTGTATCATTTTTCAATATGTTAATTAACTCGGTTTCTTAGAGGATAAAACAGTTCAGACTGTTTGCAAAATAGGAACAGTAAGACTAGTTCCATCTAGCGGCCACTATGTACAATTAAAACCTGTCTCCCAGATAAATGAGATCTACTTCTGTTCTCAAATATCTCAAAATTTATTATTTTTGAGCCATTTCGCTTGCACAATATTTCATACAAGATGTTTAAAATAATAACTCCAAGTATAGAAAAAGGAAAGTATATATTTTATTCAAAACAATAGAACAAGCGAAGAAACTAGTTTCACAAAAGTTAGTTTAATTACATATTTTTATTATCATATTGCTAGTATTTATAGCAATACTATTTTTCATACAAATTAAAGTCGAACTTTTGTAGTTTAAAGTTCATCTTCCATAAATACAGTCGTATAAACAAAATATAAATAAATATGATAAAATAATATAATATTTGCATCAATAAACAGGATCCTATAGAATAAATACAATGCTATTAATATCATATAAAATGTTCATTATAGATATCGCAAATGCTCATACAATGGTTTGGTTAGTTTTTCAAATTTTTAAAATTAATATTCGATAAATCGACAAAGCATCAAACAATATTTTCATTATTATATGATCTCCCGCTGTTATTTAAAACTATATTGGAAACTTAATTCTGTTCTAATTTTGCCAACATTTTGGATTGTATTAACATTCTGCGATGTATTAGTATGACTACATTGTAATAGTAAAAAACACAAACATAAATTAATATGTTATCAGTGGCGGCTCTGTATTGCATCCCCTATTTCCCGATATTATCGATAAAATATAATATAAGTACTTTTATCTTCAATTCTTTCTTTTGCTGAATAAATTTTACACGTGTGTCCTTTTATACAATTTTAAAGCAGAGAATAAAAATGTTCAGAAGCAACAACCCCACTAATTTCAGCTACGAGCTGCCACTGTGCGTCCACGGCGATAAACGTATTAAACTATCTTTCGTCCGCAACTGAAAAAGATATGCAAGAACGGGAGTGTGTGTGTGAACAAACGAATGTCATGTTTTATTTTATGCACGTGATATACACGCACACAGGGCCCAAGGGCGAGAAGGGGGAGCTGGGTCTGACGGGACCACCCGGTCTGACGGGAGAGAAGGGTGCCCGGGGAAAGCAAGGGAAGAGGGTAAGCTTCAGCGAGGTCCTCCGGCGAACGACCACCGACCAAATCGACCGAACAGCCATATTCCATCCTGACAATTACCCTAAAATTCAAGCAACTTTCCTCGGAAGCCCTGCAAAAGGAAACTATCCCTCTAACGTCCACTTTCCCATCCACCCCTCGATCCGTGTTCAAGAAACCTCCCCCGAACAATCTTTTTGTATTGAAATTCCTCGGCGACATGCAGTGCACGATGAAAAGCGTATTACGGCTTTTTCGGACAAAAAGGTGCATGCCATTCCGCTTGAACGTTTAATGTTAGCTGCTTGAACAATACGCTGATCGCTATAGCACTTCGAGCTTCACCTTCACTCATCCTACAGTTTTATACAGGGTGTCTCACAATTAGCGTAGGTCCCGGAAATGGGGAGTACGTGACGCGATTCTGAATAAGATTTCCCTTTACAAAAATAGGGTTTGAAGATTCGTTTTTGAATCATTAAGCAAACACACGGACTAATCAGAGCGCGAGGATTGCCCATGCATGTGATTGCTACGCGTTAGGTTACCACGCGCTGAATTATTACGCGTTGGATTACTACGCGTTGGTTTTGCTACGCGTTAGATTACTACGTATTAGATTCCTATGCGTGGAATTACCGCGCGTTGTATTACTACGCGATGGATTACTACGCGTTGAATATCCACGCGCTGAATTACTACGCGTTGGATATCCACGCGCTGAGTTACTACGCGTTGAATATCCACGCGCTGGATTACTACGCGTTGGATATTCACGCGCTGCATTACTACGCGTTGGATATCCACGCACTGGGTTATTACGCGTTGGATAACTACGCGTTGAATATCCACGCGCTGGATTACTACGCGTTGGATATTCACGCGCTGCATTACTACGCGTTGGATATCCACGCACTGGGTTATTACGCGTTGGATAACTACGCGTTGAATATCCACGCGCTGGATTACTACGCGTTGGATATTCACGCGCTGCATTACTACGCGTTGGATATCCACGCACTGGGTTATTACGCGTTGGATAACTACGCGTTGAATATCCACGCGCTGGATTACTACGCGTTGGATATTCACGCGCTGCATTACTACGCGTTGGATATCCACGCACTGGGTTATTACGCGTTGGATAACTACGCGTTGAATATCCACGCGCTGGATTACTACGCGTTGGATATTCACGCGCTGCATTACTACGCGTTGGATATCCACGCACTGGGTTATTACGCGTTGGATAACTACGCGTTGAATATCCACGCGCTGGATTACTACGCGTTGGACGTTCAGACGATGGGTGACTACGCGGTGGATTAGTACGCGCTGAATATCCACGCGCTGAATTACTACGCGTTGAATATCCATACGCTGGGTTACTACGCGTTGGGTTACTACGCGTTGAATATCTACGCGCTGGATTACTACGCGTTGGATATCCATGCGCTGGGTTACTACGCATTGGATTACTACGCATTGGATTACCACACGTTGCATTACTACGCGTAGAATTATCATGCGTTGCATTACTACGCGTTGGATTACCACGCGTTGGATAACTACGCGTTATCCGAAGCTGTCGCTCTTGCATCTGCGCATGCGTAATCCTCGCGCTCTGATTGGTCCGTGTTTTTTTTTAATAATTCAAAAACGAATCTTCAAACCCTATTTTTGAAAAGGAAATCTTATTCAGAATTGCATCAGCTACCCCCCATTTCAGGGACCTACACTAATTGTGAGACACCCTGTATGGGGGATCTTAATTTTTCATCAGATTTTGTTAACATAATCCGTACGTAATGGAAGAAGAATGTTATATCATAGGGCTTCAATCACTTTATTCAATAAGTGCAAAATTGTGAAATGACAATGGACTTCTTTAATATATACAATATGTTTAACGGTTTATATAACTTGTTCTGTAAATGAAAATAAGGAAAGTGATAGTATAGGCTCTTGATCGTATTATTAGAAGTTGTTAAAAATAATATAGAACTCGTATGTAGCATCAAATCCTCCATATCGTATATTGCTCATAGTCTATCGAGTCTGAGCCTATTTCTATAAAAGACGCTCTTTAAGAGTCTAGATTTATATAACACTTTTTATCTTTTCGTAAAAGTAGTTCGAAGTTATTTCGTACTTTTGTTATAACTTTGTAATAAAATTTTTAAAGTTCTATGTTAATATAACAGTTTTCTTTTATTTTTGCGTGTGGAATATGTTGGTTAAGTTTAATGGTTAAAAACTGAGATTCTTATGTGAATTTCGTTATCCTGTACATCCACATAAACGATATTATTTTCTAATAAATAATATCTTATTAAAATATATTATTCCTGTGTTATTTTAGTTTTTTTTTAATGTGTTAAACAGAGTGAAACATTCAAGAGAACTGTGTAAATAATTCAACCATTTTTAACGATATATCAAAATGCTTCATAGAAATAGATTATTGTCAATTTGGTGTTAATAATTAATTTAATAGTTCTATCAAAATTATAATAAAGAATTTGGATAGTTAAACGATTTGACGCTTCTGTATTTTTAATTCTGATCAAATAAGGCGTGTGAATATTATTTATGGATTTATTTTTGATATCTTTTTAAGATATTCTTATCTTCTGTGTTTCGAAATTAATAAATTTTTGGATTTTCAAATTTCTTACTCAATAAAGTTGTAAATTTGAACATTTGAAAATTTGGAAATTTTTCGTAGTTTGATAATATAGAAATTTTGCTGTGTAGAAGATTGAAATTTTTGAAATTTGAAATTTTTAGACTTTAGTAATATGTCGATTTGGAGATTTTTAACGTTGAGAAAATTTGGGGGTTTGATGACTTGGAAATAAGTGATATAGGAGTTAGAGTATTTGGGTATTTGGATATATGACAATTTGGCAACTTAAGAATTTCTAAATTCAGAAATTTGAAATTTTGGAAATTTGAAAATTCGAAAATTTCGAAGTTCAGAAAGTCTGAAATTTGGTCATTTAAATGTTTGAGCTTCCGAAAATTTTGACATTTAAAAAGGTGAAATACTGAAAGTTTGACAATTTGAAAAATCAAAAATCTAAAATTTTGAAATTTAGATTTAAGGTTCAGAAATTTGGAAATTTGAAAATTAAAAAATTTAGACATTTGAAAGTTTAGCACATTTGAAAATTGAATGATTTAATAATTTGGAAATTTAGAAATTTAGAATTTTAGAGATTTAGGAATTAATTTGTAAATATAAAATTTTAAGAATCTTTGAATTTGAATACTTAAATATTTAAAAATTCTACAAGTTTAAATTTCTAAATTTCCAGTTCCCCAAATCTCGAAATTGCCAACTTCATAAATTTACAAAGCTATGTATTTGAAAATTTAATATCTCCATTAAATTAAAAAATTTCATAAATAAATTTTTAAATTACAAAATTTGAAAGCTATAAATCTCCAAGAATATCCCACACCTAATCGCCGCATACAAGCCTATCAATGCCCGTAAGTTTCTCGGACGATTAATTATCCCATAACTGTATTTTAGCAGCACAATCAATCTTTTCTAAGATGATCAAATATTTCTAAGAAACTCAAATTGTAGACAACAAACCCGTTCAACGATCTCCGACTATACATATATCATGATACTCCTTTTAAAACCATCCATCACAGAATCAATAAAAAAAAAAATAAAATTATACCTGTGTATAAAATAAAACTCACTATAAAATATACTCACATTTCTTTTAAAATTAAATATTTCTCTGAAGCATTTGTTTTTATCACAAAAAAATAAATGAATTGCTGACATATCTAAAAAGTTTTATCTTATATTTTTATAGGAAAATCCTTTTAACCAGAAATTTCCTTGATCACCAAAGTTTAAGTTCAAAACACATAATTATTCACGCTTTAAAAACACCTGCATGAAAATCACGGGAAGCACTTGCACGATCTTATCACGCACGCATGCTTGCATGTCACTCATATGATACAATAGGATCACCTGTCTCTTTTCACTTAGTGTACTAAAACAAGTAGCCGTTATATTGCATTCGTCACCGCGACGATGATGGATGGAGAATGTTCTCGTGTCAAAGATAAACATGCTGCAGGGGTGTAAAATTGTAACATTCTTAATCGTTTCACGAATTCATTACCAACTTGTTTCCCCATAAAACATACAAGACCACCCATAATTAAATAAAACCAAATCATTCTATCATATATCAAAAGGGGACATATTGCAATTTATTATGGAATAGAAAACTAAACCTTAGTTTCAGTAGCATACTAATACTGATTTGCACGGTAGAGTACTAATACTGATTTACACGGTAAATATATAATTCTGATTTATACAGTAAATATAGATTTACATAGTAAATATGTAATATAGATTTACATGTAATATTGATTTACACAGTAAATATGTAATACCGATTTACACGTAATATTTACATAGTAGAGTAGTACTGATTTGCACGGTAAATCAGTATACTTCGAAAGAAATAATTTGCTCTAACGAAAAGAACATTTTCCAAAAGTCGTAAAATCGTCGAGGCTGACTGCACATATAACCGTAATGAAATAAACGATATTTTGAGTAATAAAAAGAAAAACGTTGGTGGCAGCAAATAACACGTACGCGAAGCGATATACTCGAAAGTTTGCTCGGTGTTGTATATTATACTTGTACGTTACTTGTAGAGGCGCTACAAATATGTCGCAGAAGAGACACGCGGTTATTAAGAAGGGTGTTCCTCGCAGAAGAGGTAAAAAGCTAGGTCTCTTCTGGTGGATGCGGCCAAATTACACATCTGCGTACTAAAAAATCTGTAACCCACGGCTTAAAAGTTGTCCGACTCATCGCTGTTTAACTTATTTCTATTTTAAGGTGTAACCGTAAGTATTCTCGCAGACTTATCCCCGAGAGATCGATCGGTTCTCGAGGGAAATCATTTGCAAACGGAAGCAGTGTCGGTAAAAACGTGCTCGTCGTCTCGAACGGTCTTGTCCACCATTTTAGATCGTTAACCTTCAAGCACCGAGGCGTGGTCACACGTTGTTCTCATTTTTATTTACATTCATTTAATTCTTTTATGAACAAAATTGATACGTTGGAAACGTTTGAAATAATCGTGCGATTACAATAGGTGGATCTTGAACGGCAGCTCGGTAGTTGAAGGTTAATTAAATGACCGTTCGTAACCGACGATCAAGCCGCCGCGTACTTCGTGCTGTAAATAAATTTGAACACGGGCTCCTCTGGACGCGTTCGTCCGAATTTCCTCGAACGAGTCCTGAAGGATCCTCGAAGGATCCTTGCATAGTTTGCAACGTCCAGTATGATGCCTGTACTCACAGTTTCTATGTTACAACGTCAGTTTAATTCAGCTAACAATGTTCGTGTCCAAATAACATTTGCGAGATCCTAATCACAGCGAGTGTTTGGTAAAAGGGACGAAGGAAAATAAAGAGAAAGTGAGAGAGAGATAGCGTGGGTGTATATACATGTTTGTGAGAGAGAATGGGAGAAAGAAACTGATTGCTTATCTTAGTCAGTAGTCTTTGGCGTAGTGTACGTAGCTTGTGTAACTAATTTGTGTTTAATGTAGCAAGTAACACCACACTACTTCTTCCCTGTGTGTCGGTTCAAATCACTAATAACTAATACTACTACCTCCGGCTTTGAGGCTCTCGCAACTTTATCGACCGGTGATCGATGCAAGCCTGCGATTGTCGCGTAAGTATCAACAAGCCCCTCAAAAACTATGTAGCTTTTACTATTGATTTGTCTTTGTACTACATTGTATCCATACGCAGCTAATTCACGAGTACCACTGATTATCGACAATGTTTTGATCCTCCTTTTAATTCGGTCGTTTCTTTATTTCCTTTCTTTCGACCGCTACAAGGAAAGTTCACAAATTGTAAAATTAATGGAATACGTCGTATGTTTATTACTAAAATTTTATCCTTAGAGTACTGTGTGTGTATCAGCAAAATGCCATAGTGATAGAAAGACTGTAACTATATGTATATTTGCTTATGCCTTATAAAAAAGTTAAAAATATGAAGTGACATATTTTCAATGAGTATAATGAACATACTGAATATACTGAATATGGTGAATATAATGAATATACTGAATAAAGTGTTTTTAATTATACCACCAAATCTGAAACACTTTATATAAATTCAATAACAGTCGTTTCAATATACTAATATATACAAGTGTTCCTTTTATTAGCAAACCGAAGTGATTTTGATCAAACCTAAAGAAAGTTATTTTACATAAACTGCTTTTATATTGTATAAAAATAAAAAATTGGCCAGGTGAAATAATCAGTTGTCGCTCAGTACTCCAAGGATTAGCATTTCAACAGAATAGAATATTCAGTTTTGACAAAAGCGAACGAATGCATATTTATGCATTTCTGTAAACTGAACGAAAAGACAATCACTTTTGTTAAAACATCGTAAATTGAAAACACCCGTCAAAAATACACGTCGAGAGAAAAGAAGAAAGGAAAATTCAGCTTCCAGTTTCTACTAAACTTGATCCCACTAATAAACAAATCCCGTTGTTGTCAGTTGCATGTGATACCCGTAGTTTTTTGTGTTTTCGAATAAACGTTAACAATTTGTGTCTAGATTTCGTGTGTTGATCGTGTAACGTAGTGGACTCGAGCGATGTTGGCACATCGTAATCCGAGCAGTCACTTTGTATACTTGGTACACGGTGAATAAGCAATTGTCGCGATAACACGTGTATGTGCCAAGATTGATCAGAAACGTAATACAATGTCCGATAAAACCGATCCCTTCCCGGTAAACCCTCCTTCCAAAGAATAAAACCCGATTAACGCTTCGCGTAAACGAAACGAATTTTCAAAACAAGATTAAATAAAGATGGAGGACCTGGTTGGACCTGACCTTACAGTGTTACATTATAGGGTTTCAAGGGTGAGAGCGGTATGGCATTGATGAGAGGCCCACCCGGGCTACCGGGTCTAAAGGGTGAACCCGGTGAACGGGGTTACCGGGGCGAAAAAGGCGCCAAGGGAGACACGGGCTCATCAGGTAGATTTTCAAGAGCCATTCTTCTGCGAGATTCAGGAGAAAGATGGATGACGATCTCTTTTTTTTACCCTCCACTGTCATCGGCAACAGTTCGCTTTTCTTTGGCACCACTCTTCATCTGACAGATCTTCTGCTCGCATACGTAGTCCATTTATATCTGGTTGAAGGCATTCTGTCCTAAAGCTTTTAGATACTGTTTCAATTTCCTTCTAATTTCAGCAATCTAGCTTCCCAATACGATCGAGGACGAATGAACGTTTCTATCTAGGCTCTTTACCTTGTCTCGAAAGATATCGCAAATCGAGAAATTAGTGTCTCCATTTAACTGCGAGAAACGTTTTCGAGTGAACGAGCAAGAATGCATGGATTAACGAGTGTTCGGGAGAACGAAAGACCGGGATATATTTCAATGATGAAATCGTCTGTTTGTAACAACAAAATGTGTTAATCGTACGGACAAAGGCCGTAGTAAACAGAAATACACTGTTTACTCCTGTTTACTAAGAATTCCTATTTTCAGGACCGAAGGGAGATCAAGGATCACCTGGCTTACCTGGACTCAATGGGACAGATGGAGAAACTGGTATTCAGGGTCCACCAGGATTGCCAGTAAGCTGATTATTACGATGCACGCCAGTTTTTCTTGACTAACGGTCGGGAACGAGGGGACATTTGGATCATCTTTGCTAGATTGAAAGGGCTTAATACAACGTGAGAGTATGCTAAGCCATTCGACGAAATGGAGAACCATTTGTGAAAAAAAATTCAAAAATTAATTGAGTATGGTTATCGATTCAATTAGAATAATTGTAGATCAGTTACTGGTTCTATGTGGATCATTTGAAAGGAATGACTTGAAATAATGGGGCTGGAGGTTCAAACTTTGTTCAAATTTTGTTTACATTCATAAATGATCCTGTTACAATAAATAAGATAGTATTTTTTAATTGTTTTTTATAGAGAAAAATGTTCCTATGATTCAATAGAATTTTTATTACGTAAAACAATAATTTTTTATGTGACTCATAAGCTACTAAGGGTGCTATTTTATTCTGGTATTTTGCTAATTATTATTGAGGTATTTTTTTAATGTTTATTTGTGAAGAGAATATTTATATATCACGAACTATGGATGACAATATTATTATTCATAATTTTTATAAATATCAAATTTGATAACTCAATAACTCTTATCAGTCAATTTTATTTATTTTTACTCTTCAAATGTATGTTTTAAGTACAATTAAATATCATTTCAAATTTCTAAAATTAATGACAGTAAAGATATAAACTAAATGCAATATAAATTTATTGTAACATGTACTTGTCTGAATTTAGAAAACATTGAATATTAATTTTTGAAACTGCAAATTTTCGCGAGCAGCATATTTTCATGTTATATGAACTTTCGATCTACCAAATATGATTTAAATCAATGTCACAATTTCTCAGTAACCAAATTTTTCAGTTTCTCAATTTTCCAATTATTAACTTGCAAATTTATCAATATTACATCAGTATCCCAATTTTTCAATATCTACAAATTTCAAACTTCTATTTTGGTAATATTTCAAAATTCTCAGTTCCCAAATTTCCAAAACTATTCTACAAACCAAAAATGATCCCATCCCATCCCTACTATTACGTTCACTTTATTTAACCCTTTGATTGCGAAATACCCTCACATATTATATACACTGTAAATTTTTCCTAAATTTTACCAAACTGATGTAACATAGAATTTATCAGTTCAACATAACAATTTCAAAAAGCTGAATATCGGTATTTCAATATTTTAGAATCGCAAATACCTCTCTGAAGGCTTTCCGCCCTCGAACCTCCCCTTAGCTACCTTGCAGCACTTTCGACAATTTTCCTGATGGTTTTAGCCCATTTTAAAAAAGTTTCTCTAAAAAAGTCATAACCAATACGATTTGGTCTGTACATTTGCATACGTGAGTGTGTGATCGGTTTTATAGCATTTTGACGCAACTGACAAATATCGCATATGTATGATATTACTAATGACGTATTAATTATGTCATGTAGAAATTCTCTACAATCAAAGGGTTAAGATGACGAAAATACTGTCATGTAAATTAGTCAATATAGTTAACATACCACATGTGTACAGGGTGCGTTTGGACCTAAAGGTGAGAAAGGCGAAAACGGCGACATTGGGCCTCCAGGACTTATGGGTCCACCGGGCTTACCTGGTCCACCGGTATGTAAATAATATGATTCGTTCAATTACTACACGAATTTTTTCAATGAATGTTTAACATGACACGTATTCTCGTCAGGGATATCCCGGGCTGAAAGGTGAAAAAGGAGAAAAGGGCGAATCGGTGAGTAGATCTCTTGGCTGTACTTTACGTTCAACAGATGGAATATCGAACCCTCTCGTATCGAATCTCTTCCTTTTTTTTATTCTCATTCAATGACAAAGGAAAGATATAATCGATCGTTGCGTAGAGTGCCGTTGAATGTAAGGGTTGTTGAATATCCATCAATTTTCGCTACGAGTGATTTAGGGTCCTCGGTTTCAATGCGTGACAAGTACATCGTACTCGCCGCGTCAATTGCCTTGAAATCGAGGACATGCCATTTTAACGACATGTATTCAACCATTTGACGATAAAATCTATTTCTTTTCATGGCGCGACACGGGGCTTCCATCGACAGAAATACAAAAAACTCAGGCGAAGACAGGTACGTGTATTTCCTCCACATTCCGTCAGATACCATCGATATCCTGAATGTTCGATCGAATATCGTACGGAAATATCTTACTTTACAATGCTCGTTTCGTTGCAGGGAGACGGTACGTTCGAAGTGAATGCCGGCGAAGTGGTGAGTAAAAGCATTATACCCGAAGTTTCCGATTCCATTTACACCTTAAAGCAGTGGCAACGTTTGAACAAACTTTTACCTCTGTTCGCCGTTATATGATTAACTGTTTACAGATAATGGGCCCACCGGGACCACCCGGTCCAGCTGGTACTCCTGGACTTCAAGGTCCACCTGGCATTAAAGGCGACCGAGGACATGACGGCGCCAAAGGCGATCCTGTCAGTAATCATTGTGCATTATTATATCATTTTGCAGACTTTGCACTCTAAACTAATCCCTTCGTACATCGTATTCAATTTGCTCCTCAAATTAACCCCTTTGCAGGTCTTATTTGCCTTTTCACAAATCAATTTCAATCTTTTGCAAATCAAATTTACCTTTTCTTGATCAGATTTATTTTTACTAATCAAATTTATCGTTTCACTGAATCCATTTTTACAAATCAAATTTATCTTTTCATATACTGAATCAATTTTTGCGAATTTTACCCTTTCACAGGGTAGATTACTCTTTCACAGAGTAAATTTAGATTTATAAGACAAATATAGACTAAATCTAGTTTGTTATTCAAATCTAGAATTTTAGGGATTAAATTGTTATAAATCAAAGTCATTCTGTTGCAACTTCTGCTGCAAATTACTATAATCTTTACATATGCTAAAATAATATGAACAGCAGAATAGTAATAGATGTGTTTATGTGTATCTGTGTAAATATTTTATTAGTTTTTGTTCAAACATAATTAACATTGAATAATAAACATTATTACATACATGTAATAACATTTTTCTTTGGAAACAATAAGTTTGTACTGGATATTTTTTGTTAAAGTAGCTTAAGAATTGAATTTTACTGAATTTCAGTTGAAAATGGTGAATTTAATGTATTTCGATTTTAGTAAATTTCAGTTGAAAAAGATGAATTTAATAAATTTGAAATTTAGTGAATTTGAGTTGAAAAGAGTAAATTTAATGAATTTGAATTTTACTGAATTTGAGTTGAAAAGGGTAAATTTAATAAATTTCAATTTTAGCAAATTTTAGTTGAAAAGGATGAATTTAATGAATTTAAATTTTACTGAATTTGAGTTGAAAAGGGATTGAAAATTTAATGAATTTGAGTAGAAAAAAGTGAATTTGATCTGTGAAAGGGTGAGTCTAATTTGCAGAAGAGTGCATCCACAAAAATGTGGATAACACCTGCTTAATTTGAAGTGCAAAAAAACGAATACGATCTACAAAAGAATTGATTTGCAGTGTAAAATCTGTATAATATAGCACTTTTATAATTTAATCCATGTTCCTATGATTGATTACATATTTCATGACATAGACATTAGGGTAAGCTGTACTAATTTTGGCACTGGACATCTAATTTTAGTAACTATTAACAAAAATTATATTTTTATAAACACAGTAATAAGCACTAATATTAATAAATATTAAAATTAATAATCACTAATAAACATAATAACATTTTTATAAATTCAAATGTTCGCAATATTTCGCATTTCAATTGTTCAAAGCTTTTGACGTTTATTAAAAATTTCATAGTGTATTTGTCAAATTAATGCATAGTAATTAAGCTAATACACTCAGATCTAATTATTGTATCAAATATGCCATTTTTGCTATTATTCTTCATATTTTTACAGTATACTTCATAATTACAAATTTTTATTTAAAATAATTGTTTTATATTACTCTATTATCTGTACAAATAGATTTTCACATTTCTTTAATATAAAATACAAATTTGTTAAATAATTTTTAGCTTAATGTGCCAATCATTATGTAGTTTACCCTACTAATTACTTTTGTTCGTGAAATATTTAAAATACGTGAATTACGTCAATTGCGTGAAATGTTTAAAAACATCCTTCTAGGCATCGTTTAATGTTACGTATAATTTTATATCATTAACGAAATTTTAACCGAATGTCCCAATGCTTGACAGTTATATTTTCACAAACGTTCTTCTTTCACGTTGCAGGGAGAGAAGGGTGCCAAAGGAGATCCTGGTCCAATGGGACTACCCGTACGTATTTTCCTCTCAAGATTAGGTCTATAGGTTAGGTAGGTTATAAAGCGCGAGAAAATATCAAAAGTTCAAATCAGTCAAACCTGCATTATAAAAATAAAATATCGAAATTAAGAAACTCACTCATTCTTCAGTGACATCAACTCTTAAACATTAATTCGTGATTCACAATACACTGTAGTATATTATGAATTCTGCAAATAATTAGTATTTGCTAATTTTACAAATGTTACATAGAATAGAATAATAAATTTACGTAAAAAAGAAAGAATATATTGAACTTAGTAATTAATAATTACTAAGTAAACAATTCGACACATTTTTAAAGAAGAAAAGACTGTACAAAAAAAGAAATTAAAGAGGTGTTAAAAATACGTGCATTACACATAACGCATCGATTCATGAATATAAAAAAAAAGAAGCAATCAATTTCATACAATCAGTCGAAATTCATCAGTACTCATACCAGTCAGTACCGCCGCTAGCGCGAGGCAAAAAGGGCATTTGCCCTGGGCCCCGCATTAAAGGGACTTCTACACTTAGAGCATTCACATTTTATAAAATTTAAATAATTGTATTAGTCTGTGTTTTCAATTTATAAATGCAATACGCCACTATAACGTGGATATTGGGTGAAAATTATAACAGTGGGATGTATTAATCGGATTTGAGTTATGGATGAGTTAGTTTTGGATAAGATTTTATTAATCACATCGTTCAACAGTGAATTTGTAAAATTTGTTGTATACGACTTTTGCCCCGGGCAAAACTCTAGCGCCGGTTCTGTCTATTAACATTGGCGTAACTAGGAAGATGTTGGTAGACCTACATTCTGTTTAAACGCTTAGTAGTGCAAAGGAGATAGAGTATTTTATAAGGAGATAGGATATTTTATATTAGAAATTAAGAAATTTCGAAATTTTTCAATTTATGGACTTACAAGCTTTTAAATTTATAAACTTCCAATTTTTTAATTGATAAAAAGTCGATAAAAGTCTCATGTAAGTCTGGGCAATAATTTAACAGCCAGATTTGTACAAATCTACGCTTTCTATTGACATTTACCTTCGACTTCTTTTTTTCTCTTCCTATTTCTATTCATTTTCGAAAAAAGGCATAAAAACTTTGGATATCGCTCGAGACAATCGTGAATTTGTACGGACACTACACGCTAACTAAATCATTAACTAAATTATACCGTTTTGTTGACCCCTTATCCTACAAATGTTTTGGCAGTTGTGTCAGTCAATTACCTAATTATTATCTTAGTGTTAAGATAAATAAAGAATATTGAATACTAAGTACTTTTTAGATTTAGCGACCTTCAATTATACGTACTACAATTTGAAAACTCGATATTTATAGAAATATAGATTTAACACATCTGAACTCTAACGTCACGAGTCTGACTGGATGTTATAAGCTTATAAGATTATAAGATGTTATAAGATTAAATGATAATTAATATACGTGTTACGTTGTAAAAATATATTGTGTTGGACTACTTATTATTTCATCCTCACAATGATTAAAATGATGGGACCTAGGCTACCCCAGTGAAAGATCCTCGTTACGCCAATGTCCATTGCATACATCGCGAGTAATCGATTCACTAACCGAAATGTATATTTCTTTACAGGGCCCCATGGGACTGAGAGGAGAATCCGGAAAACCCGGGGATGCCGGGAAACCTGGTGCCATGGTAAGAACGCGGACCTCTCGCTCCTAACGCCATCGTTATTTGGCCTCGCTGCTGAATCATTGATAGCCATTCACTAACGACCAGTGTAATCGATTGTCGCTCATTCGACAAGACGTCGTACTTCTTCGTATCCTCAATGAGATCCTTGTTTGCCTCTCGAGTAATGTTGCCTTCCGTGTCGTTTTCTGTACATAGATGATCGTCGTTCGATCATCGTCGAGCAGCATATACCTAGCATATGTGTATAAGTTCGTAAGAAGCAACTCGAGAGACAACGCGTAGGCTATTGCGAACACCTTCGGGGGATCTCTTGTCGGATTGACAAGTTGCCGGAAGTTTTCAGCGTGACAGCGTACGATCATATCGTTAGCGTTTAATTCGATAAGGCATAATTGTAAGAATGAATGTTGGCGAGTCATTTTCGAGAGGTTAGTACCCGCGAGCTCTCCGTGTATCAAGTTCGTGGATTTAATAGCTTCATCAGTTGCTATCGATCGGGGAGCTACTAATGATATTTCAACGATGAACCACGGATAGGGAGAGGCCAGAAGGACCGTCCGTTACGAAGATTGCGGCCGTTAATACCGGACGCTAAAGGAAACGGATTTAACCATAATTAATCGTCGTTCGAGCAAAGCTGATAGAGAACAAGTAAAATTGTGTCTTAAAATTGTGCGGCGGTAATGAAAGTAAGGTGATCGTTTGTACTATATAGTGGGTGCATTTGTGTGCAGGAAAAAGTAGAAAGTGTAGCAAAAAAAAAAAGGAAAAGAAAAACGACGATCCTCCGATTTCGTTTCATGTCGATGTGTGACGAGAGTGACGTTTCGGAAGAAACAAAGCGTCTTCCATAGATATTCAGTGTGTACGAGTTTAAATCGTTCGATGCTTCTTTTCGTAATTCTAATGCAGATTACGCATTACGTCGGTGCTGTACATTTATTTATCCAACGTAACATTTAGCGGATGATCGCACTAACATCCGTCCTCTTAACGTGCTCTATGTGTCTACCTATGCTATCGTATACCTATAATACACTAAGAAAAACCTGTTAATTGAAATAACGACATTTAGCGATGTACGTGATAATGCGGTACAAAAGCTATGCAAATTTTGCCTTAAAACGTTCTTAACTGAAATTACGAATTGATAGATTAAATACTAGAAAGATAAAATATTAATTAAACCAATTCGTTCGAGCATTATATTTTATCTCAAGCAGACATATTCGTTTTGATTCTTGCTTTTCCAAATAAAAAATCATTAGGAGATCTATTTGCCGAAATAATAAGATGCATTTTTTAGTCAATAAAAGCTTCTAAAAATTTTGAGTACTATAATTTTATTATGTAGAAAACAATTTCGGTTGAAAATTGCAGTTCAGCTTGGGAACGTTACGGGTTCAAATCTCGTTAATAATACATTTTTTTAATTTCTTCTTTTATTGGTTTTGTCCATTCAAATATCAATTCATTAAACTTTAGTTTGCTATTCATTAAAATTATGAACGATTGAAAAATATTTGCTGGGAAAAACTATTTCGTTTTTATTATTTCTTGCGCAATCATATTTTTTATCAAAATTACTTTGAAATATTATTTAATATGTTTTAGTCAAAGTGGTGTATAATGTACACGGAAGAAAATGTATAAACAGCAAACAAATAGTTCTTGTTATAAATAATTAAACCGTTCATAATTAAAATAAAATAATTTTAACAAAATGTAATTTGCTGGCTTGTATAGTTTTATGAAACGTTCAAACATTATGTGGAATTACATTATTTTAGAGAATAATTATGAAATGTCTCAGTCATGAAATAATAATTGGAATAATTTTAATAAAATGAAATTTAACAATATACGAGAGTTGAACCCACGACATTGAAAAAACATTTAGCGCTGAAGTATAATAGTACAACAAACATTTTTATAAAAATCTACTTATTTCACTCGATGTTTTTAAAAACTGTCTTTCTCGAAATTGGCTGAAAGCATCTTACTGTTTAGGCAAACAAATCTGCCATTGCTCTTTAATTAGGAAAAGTAAAGATCGGAAAAAAAATATGAACGCCTGACGCTTATGAATATGTATAGGTTATACCAATTTTATTTTTTACTTTATCGTAGGTTTTATAAGATGGCTTCTTTACGTTCCTTGTCGTGTTTCTATCTACTCGCCGTTTAATTAATTCACTTCATATATCTTTTATTCCTTTGAATTATTCTCTGTCTCAGTTACCGGCTGCTTCGTACTTAAGCGGGAGCTCGCTCGCAGCATTCGTTGCACGTAGCTAATATAATCGAAGCATTTATCATAATTCCTCTCTCTTCCATTCCACTCCCACGTGTATTTCCGTATAATGTTCAACATAGGCAGATCAAAAGGTTCTCTGTGAAACAAGACGTATAAAAGTGACGGCAAAGGGTATGTACCGACAAAGTTAAAGGCAATTGACCGTAACATGTTTGTGGAATTGTCAGACGCGTTGGAGGAAATTATGATACTGTTCGATGCAGTGTATTTCAATTAACAAAATGAAATGTATACGAAGTGAAAGGACAAATCAGATGCTTTTGTGATATACGTGAACACTTAACATCCGTTAAAAAAAATAGAAATTGGAAAATTTTCGTACCTGGTGAAAATGCAAAGCAATAGATACCCGAGAGATCGACTATGCGAACTTATTTGTGTACGCTCCCTGCTTCATATTCGTTATTACGCTTTACTGATTGCTGTAACAAGCATTATTTATAGTAACAAAGCTCGCATAACTCTATAATTGCATTGCAATTGACAACGTGTTGGTAGCTCGAAAAAGATGACAAAACACCTCAACTTTTATATTTGGTGTACGATAAATAATTACGTCGAAATCTTATGTTTGTTACACTTGTCGCACAGTTGATACTTATTTCTTAGTGTAATTTATTTTGTGAATGCATGATAGTTTTCTTTACTCAGGGGAACAGATGTTGATATTCGTATTTCTAATAAATGATTTGTTTGTCCAAACACTTTTCAGCCAGAAAAATAATTTCTGCAAAATTCGAATAAATAGACTGATACTTTTTATATTACAAAAAATTCACTGCTGTTATAAAATGAGTGACGAGTTCAAATCTCGCTGCAGTGTTTTTTCCAACTGCATTGTATGCTTTTAAAAGCTGAATTTATTAAATTTTTTTAATTATATAAATTACAAGAAATCAGTAAAATTCATTTCATAACATCTTATTCTTTATTCATAAATTATAGTTATTTATAATTTACATATATTTATAGTGTTTTATACCATTACATATTTAATAACGTTCTGTAATGTTACGCATATTTATAAAGCTTATACTGTTAACTTTTTGTTTGAAATATCACTCCGTTTATTTAATAATATTTGAAAGTAAATAATTTTAATAAAAACACGAACAAAATTTTCTATTTCATACAATCATTAAATACATATAATTTTGTGTTAAATTTTAATAAGTCGTATTATGAAATTTTATAAATAAGCATTTAAGTACATAAAGAACGATTTAAAAAACTACAAGTAGCAGTGATTCTGCAGTAATATTAAAGATCGCAACTTTTCATTTATAAGAACAAAGCTTATAAGAAGCTTATAAGAACAATATTTGTAAAAAATATTTTCAGTGAATATTTTTCAATCCAATTATAATTGCAACTTTTAAGTCTGGAGATTAAAAAATCCTTCCTACTGTTTGGATAAACAAATTCTTTAGTAATCAGCTTTCAAGAAAGAAAGGAAATGAAATGAAGATATCAACGTCTGTCTTATTAGCGATTTTTGTCATTTATATTTTGTAAGAATTTACACCCGTTTACTTGGAAGATTTGATTAATCGAGACTTTAAAAAGCTGAGGTTTGTCGAATTCATAAATAGTTTGCGGTACTTGAAAAAATTGAAATTTAGGTAAGAGAGAGAAATAGATTACTAGGTACAAAAAATCGAGGCCTAAACTGCGATACTGCATAGCGACGAATACGTTTAATGATCCCTGTACTTACAAACACATTAAGAATATCCTTATTTGCGAGCCTAGTCACTCCGCAACGCAAGGTGTTCACTTTCGTACGAGATCGTATGGGAAGGAATATCACGAAGCTGTACAGTGTAGAATAATAACGATGCCCTGACAAAATGGTGTTAACAATATATTTGGTCTGTCTCGGGCAGAAATCGCGATAGCACCCCTAAATTATCCTGTGTACCCGATCCTAAAAATATAGACGAGTGCGAGTAGTTTTTAATCGAGTAACGGGATGAGTAAAAGCGTGTAAAACTCGTATCTTTGAATCTTAAACGACAGCGATACGAGCGACATACGGTATACGTACGTGTGATTATGCGTTTATCATGGACGGCAATTCGTGCACCGTACGTAAATGAACACGGGTAGGGGAGAAAAGTAACCGATCGAGGACATTGTATGCGTGTGTGTATAATTTTCTGTACGCGTATGTATGTATATATGTATGCATATGTGGGTGGGTGTGTGTGTACACATATATATACATGCATGATATAAAAACGAGCATAGAGGAAAAGCATTTTCGTGCGTGCGTATGTGTGTATTGATTGTAAAACGGCGCGCCTTGGTATAATTAACAAGAAAAAGAATTATAGAGAAGAATACGACGACGTGTTTTTGCGTATATGAATACTTGACTCTAACAATTTTGTTTTACATTGTCCCAATTAATAAACAGAATGTGCATGTGCCTGTGTCCTTTGCTTCTATACGATGCCCTTTCGAAATTTTATTAACGCTTCTCTCACACCTCGTAGTGAAATTACCGCTTTGCATTTTGTTCCGGCTGCGATCCGACCATCATTCTTAACCTTAACCACTATCACCACCACTTCTTCACTTATTCTTTTCTGTTTCTGTTTTTTTAAACACTTTTTTCTCTTCACTTCTGTTCGCAATAAAGATCGATCGTGACACGATCGTGAGAGAAACAAAAATTAACACGTGTTAATTTGCTGCAACCACGACGGTTATTGTTGGATCGTTACGCCACACGTTATGTGACATCGTTTAAGTGATTCGCAAAACAATACGAGCCTCGCGGGTTTTCTTTCTTTTCTTTCTTATATTGGATTAAGCTCCTTCTTTGCCTTCTCCTTTGCCTAACGACCGTCGTCTGTACTCTTGCCTCGCCCTCGAACAAGCTACACAATGATCAATTAAAATGCAAACTCATGGTAAAATCAATTATTTAGAATTATTTTAAACACACGTTTATTGAAATTTTATATACCGTGTCATACTCTCAAATTTTATTGGCGGATCAAAATGGGCACAATTAAATACATCTAAATTACTTAAAACATTTGAAAAAATTAAAAATTAAGCTTAAAAGTTTATTTCTATATAAAATAGTATTTTTTCCTTTATACAAAGTATTTTTAATTAGTGGTAAAAGAAGCTTAAATGAGCTTGGCAAAATACAGCGATGGAAAACAACGACGCAAAGGGCGTCTTACATAATTCCTATGTAATAAATTACACCTAAATCGACATACTAGATATCAATTAATCACCAGGTGACTTCAATGAATCTGACAAGGTTTCCTCTGCCTTTCAGGGGCCACCAGGATTAGACGGCATGAAGGTGAGCAATCCTCGGGGTGACCCGTTTAATCATACATTATATTTATGATTTTCGGATCCTCAATTTCTACGCTCCACGCTACGATTTCGTCATTCTGGCGTAGATTAAGCTGGTTGCAATGTTTACGGTATTGTTTTATTGCGGGCGGTATAGAGCATAGTGTTCGTTAAGTCTCTTCATACTTACAGGGTGCGCAAGGAGAACCAGGCACGAAGGGAGAAAGAGGGGACTCGGGACTACCTGTAAGTACCTTTTTCATGCCAACTAACATTTTTAATTATACCGAAATTAACAGTAATAAATATCATAGTAATTAAAATTCATAATAGTATGTATGAAAAATCTTACTGTAGAAAATTTTATTTAAACGTTACATAAGTTGTTCATGCTAATTTCTGACAGTCTCATTCTCTTTAAGCAGGTGAATGATACAAACATGTTAATATGAAATATACGAATTGGAAAATATACATACAGAATATTGTGTTGAAGTTGAATATCTACACTGTTTCTATTGTTTATTCAAAGTAAATAAAAAAAAGGTTATAAGGAGAGGATACAAGATGAGTTTTCAGATCAGATTTACAGGATGTGCAGCACAGATATTACTTATCACTCTAAATATTTTGTGAATGAAACCTTAAATTTAGAGATATGAGCCTATATGCTTTCATGTCGGGTAGAAAATATTTGCAATTCAAACCACGAGGTCAGAGACGACAGCGTTACAGACTGGTGACAGGCAGCTGTCCCTTGAGGGCATGGTACTTGAACGTGCAAGTAATGTGCTCTCCCGGGCACTGATGGCTAGCTAATATCACGATTAGAATATTTTCAAGTCTAAAAATTACGTAACGATAAGATTATTGTATTTTATAGCAGAGAAGTTGAAAATTTCAATCTTCTACATTTCTAAACGTTTAAAAATTTTAGAAATTATCAGAGTAGCTTTTCGTAGTGAAATATTTGATATCGGTGAATTTCGCGATTTTAAAATATCTAAATTACGGTATTTTCTAATTTCCAAATTTTATTAAACCAATCTAGCAACTTTTAATATTTTATGTAATCGCTGTGGTTTCAAATAGTGATATAAATTCCCAAAGTATTTACTTTATTTCCGGAGTTCTATGAATATATTTCTGAATTTTATAAAGTGTGCTTTTTCGATACTTCACACTTTAATAGGAACGAATCTTTGGCAGACTAGACGTTTTAAGTAAACTTTAGAACTAGACGTTTTCAATCGGGGTTAAATCAGGCAAATTATTAGGTTATTCTGTGTTCAAAGTACATTCATTAAACTCAATTCATGTCATTAACATCTGTCTACCGGTGCAAAACTTGTACTAGCAGACTTGACGCAGTCCCAATATTTTGCTGAGAAAGTAAACATTTGAAGTTAAGGGTGCTGTGATAGAGTGGCAAACTATGTAGTACTAAGCTTAGACATTATCATCATATTTCCATTATTTTCATTGGAATAAGCATAAATCAACTTGTCAGAGAATAAATTAACGGAATATAATGAAGTAAAGCTATTAAAACCCTTGCCTTATGATTTATTTGTCGAGTATGTCAGTCAGAACTAACTAATCAAAGATACAATATTCAAATAGACAAAGAAAGTTCAAATGTTATGCCAAACTGGTATTATGCAATTGTTGACTATGTAAATTATGCTATAAATTCACCCTGTAAGGTTGCAAATTTTTTAAGACTGAATGAAACAAGAAATAATTAAAAAATAATTGAAATCTTGATATCTATTTCAATGAGTATCAAACGAATTAATGGCATATTTACTGAACTAAAGATATAAATGAAATTGGGAAAATGTTAAGTTGAGTCTTCCTAGAATATTATGCTTGGATTCAAAACTACGGACAACATTTTGAAACATAACCAGAACTGAATTTAAGATGAAGTGGGGGTAAGTTCGTAAACGGAACAAGTGCGTATACAGGCTATTTTTATTAGAAAATGTGCGAAATTTCGCCATTTAGTATGTTTGTTTCCCTATTTTGTTTCACTATATATCCCCTTTTATATTTCAGCTAAGAGTACTTGTTTGCAGTATAGCGTACTTGCATAATGCAGTAAAGCATTTTATAGCAGATTTGCTAATAATTCTGCTTTTGCCCCATTGCACATGAAATAAAATTTCAAAGTATTTAACTTCAAGTTATGCTCTTACCCCATTTTCGGGGAAAGTGCAGAGTAGTTGACATTTTAAACAATTTCCTATCAAAATCAAAATGTACAAGGAAAATTAAGGTCCTAGTTAATATTAATTCAATAGTAGTAATTGTGCGTAGCGTTCGATATCGACAGCGTTAAGTATTTACACAGCAGACTGAAAATACTTACTTTTAAATACCAACTTTAGAAAAACCGGTCTGCACTTACCCCACTTCACCTTATGTGTAATAATACATTTTTTGATCTGTGTTTATATAACTTTTTTTCTGTTTATAGAATATGCTGATAAAGTTTGATCGTTTAATTTTAAGACATCCTGTATCAAAAGTTTTTGAAACATATCTACGTTAAATGACATACAAAATGTTAT